CACGTGGTAACTCTATAAGAAATAAAATGATGACGTCTGGAGAAATGGCTCAGTGGTTAAAAGCACTTGTTGCTTTTTCAGAGAACATGGGTTCTATTGCTAGAACATACATGGTGCTTCAAAACGTTTGTAACTCCAGTTCCTGGGTATCTCATGTTTTCTTGTGGCTTCCGTGGGCACCAGGCATGCACGTGGTGCATAGACATACATGCAGGCAAAACACCCATACACACCAAATAAATTAAAAATAAATGTTGATAGTTTATGTAAATTATGTACCAATATGTAGTGTCTATTATGCCTTTTGCAGGGATACTTAGAGATTCTTGTCTCGGGTAATTATGCATGATCCAGAATTAAAGATAATGAATTTAATTGATCTGTATATGGTATATTTTACAAGTGTGCCACCTCTTTCAAATTAGGGAATAAGTACATTTTTCCTTGTAACTGGAAGTTTTATTTTTTATTAGATGACAACTGGTATCCCTGGATCACATAGTCTATCCTCTAGCAGGCTTTTCTCTTATATTCTTGCCTGTAGAGAATAGCAATGTTTCAGCAATCTAGCCTTAGTGCATTAAATGTAAAGATACTTTATACTTTACTGTTCTTTAACTCAGTAATGAAGGAAGAAGGGCAAGGGCATCAAATAAGAGCATTGTCTCATAAATTAGTAACTGTTTCAGGTCTCATCAAAATGTATTTAGTATTGAGAAAGGTGAAACAGAGTCATAAAGCTCTCTGAATCTATTGCTTCTTAAATGAATATCTTAAGACAGTTATAAACCATTTTACTCATTATAATAAACATGCTCTTATAACCAATATCTGTTCAGAAGTGCTCTTTGATTGCAAATAGCCAGAAACTCCAATTAATACTATTTATTTATCTGACATCATGAGAGTGTCCCTAGTTCTCCTTTTAAGTTTGAGTAAATATGATCTATGTAGAAAATTACACATCTGTTAAATATATATATATATATATATATATATATATATATATATGTCTTGCATGTATGTATGTGCACCATGTGTGTAGTGCCTGCAGAGTCAGGAAGAGGACACTGGAACTAGAGTTACAACATGTGAGCATTTGGAATTGAACTCAATCCTCTGAAAGAGAAGGAAGTGCTCTTATCTGCTAAGCCATGTCTCCAGCCCCATCTAATTTTATACTTCCAATAATACTTCACTGTCCTGAGTAAGATCTAGTTATAAACCACCCTTTTATTTGGTGGGAAACATAGGTAAACTTCTCAATTCATGTTTTTAATGATTTATGTATTTATTATCTGATTTATGTATTATCTGCAGGAAGTGATATATATATATATACAGTGTGCACTCATACCTCATACACATGTGTTTCACATTGTATTTGGCAATCAGGGAACTTTGGGGAATTGGTTCTTTGCTTACACCATGAGGCAGAGTTTTTATATGGCTGTTTTTGCTGATTTTCCTCTCTCTGCCTTCCATCACACTGTTGGAGCCCTAAGATTACCCTGGGATTAATAGCTATCACATCCGACTTTATTCTGTTTTAACATGGACTAT